AGTTGCTCAAATTTAACCACAAATAAGCGCCATCATGACATAAAAGTGTAACAAAGTGGCGCCTAATTGAAGACAAATACGGTATGCCTAATGAGTAATAAATGAAATTTATTATTTCCATGGATTTTCTGGTAGGTGATGTAGTAAACTACACTCCATTACTCCTATCTATGACATCACAAATGTCAACACAGATGGTACAGTAGTTTCAGAAAAGTCAGCATTAATAATGGCCATCAAGCTCCTTCAATGAGTTCAATTCAGTAGGTTGTTGCATGACTCAAGCCACAGTAGAGAATGTTTCATAAAATGTTGTTGATATCACAAAGTTTTTTTGGATGAATTCCTCTTTTTCAATGCCATCTGACGGTAAGGTTTGAGAACTGAGTAGATAAGATTTATGGTCATTGACTGTGGTAATCTGTTTTGAAGACCCTGAAAATGATGGAATGATAAAAATGTTAAAAGTGACTGACCATGACTAGTCTATTTGGATGAAAAATAAAATGTACGTCCACAAATCTATGCACTGAAAAAACTTACTTGACTACAATGATTCAGCTCAAGTTAAAACATTGCACTGTGACATCTCAAGAATAATTTAATTGTTATTATTACAAAAGCAAAAATTTTGAAAATGGAATGTTACAGTAATAGTTGCAGCAGTATGAAGAGATCAAATGTGTTAATTTTTGATAAAATAATTATAATTTTCACATGTATATGAAATCCATAAAAAAAACGTACCCTTACCTGAATGTGGTGCATAATGTAACCATATGTCTTTGTTTCCCATCCCACAGTCCTCAATGACTGAGTCACGTATGCTCGGCTAGTTGGCCAAAATAACGATGGTTTTCGGTTCATAGTCATATTAGTGGAAACAAAGTATGGCATTACACACTGAAATCAATTTAAAAGTAAGAAAAATGTGAATATTAAGCGTGATAGTATGAAGAATAATCATAGTTTATAATAGTTATGCTTCACTCAATATATGCAGAGCTCACTGATTGGATAGTTACAAATGTTTTCATATCAGGTAGCCAATCAGGAAATTTCATTTACTTTCTCAAAAAGGTCGCAATTAAGCCCCTGGGTTTTGACTGACCACTATTTTGGGTTTTCTTCAAACTGTACCTGAACAATGATGCCTTTGTGCTTGTATTCCTCGTTCAAACCCCGAGAAAAGAAATCCATGTACGCCTGAAAATTTATTCAAATAAAAATCAATAAAATGAAAAATGACAGATAATCAATAAAGCATCAATGATACTGATGATGTCAGGGCATTCGTTATTATCATTTATTTACTGATGTTTGATGAATTGTAGATATATCAATGTTTAATGCAGTATGGTTCTCACTGTATAGTTCTCACTAGTATTGTATTGTACTATTCCAATAACTTTAATATCACAAGAAAAAACTGCTGTCGTAATATTAATGACTTCTATAACAAAAATCCGACAAAAATAATAAAACAAATGCTCACACAACTTCTCCCACTGTTCTATCATTTCTATGAATACAATAGGCTCCATTCAGTGTAATGTCATGTATCACATGACAGGGTATGTATTCATTAAATGCGTTTATTTTTATAGCTATTCCAAC